ATATGGGTATATGGTTTAGGACTTCAGATAGGAGCCATGGACTGGTGACCTTGGTCAAATCTTGGTTTCTGAGTCCAGAACTTGGGCTTGTAACGGAAGGAGGAGACTTTTCAAAACAAAACAAAAACTTTTTATTTAACTGGTATTTTGTTTGACATTTAGTACTATGGTTTAGTTGTATTATTTTCATTTTTAAGTAAAATGTCTTAGGTTTGATTCTTTTTTAAAGATGAACTTGAACCATAATATTGCTAACTCATTATGAGATTCACTTCCCCACATTCTTAATGTAAATAATATCGTTAGTTAAAAAAAAAAAAATTTAAATTAGTATTTCGTTTTGCCTGTTTTTGAGCGCCTAAATGTATGCAATATGCAATACTAGTCAAACAGTTGCCTACTAATATTAATTAATTTATTTTGACAATCATATCCAGTAGATTACTTGGCTACTACCATTTCAATATTACGCATATATTTATTTGGAAAAAAAAAGTAAAGAATAAAAGATTAAAAAAAAATCTTCAGCTGATGAAGACAACCAAAATATTCCAAAAGCGTGTTATGTAATGTCAGATTTAGACCGCAGGATCTCGAAAGCGTGTTATCTAAGAAACCGAAAAAATTCCAAAACCGCGTTAAGATTTGGGAAGGGATCATCTCCGATCATTTTCACGAAGTCCACCAAGACACACAATTAAGATTTTTAAAATTTGATCTAACAGCTAAAATTATTGCAATTTTTAAAATAAATTCATGTTTGTAGCTGTTTGATCAAATTTCAAAGATCCGGATTGTATACCTTGGTGTACTTGGTGGAACCTTAAGATTTGATCTCCAAGAAAATCACAGCCATTAGGAAAACCAAACCAAATAAACTTATTATATCTTATAACTAAAAATTAAGAAAGGGTGTTGAAGATGAAAAGGAGTGGGTTAATACACCACCTTCTCTTTATTCTTTCTATATTTGTACTCTGTTTTCTTACATACTCAACAGTCTAGTAGTCAAGCCTTCTAATATGTATTGACAATGCTCTACTGGATTAGTGTTGGATAACAATGAAAGATTTTTCTGTATGCTTAGAACATACGTCATATATAATTACAAATGTAAAAAAAAAAAAGGAACTTTAACGAAAAGCACTCGGTACTGTTCACTTTAACGAAAAACCAAATTTTTACACTAAAAAGTCAATCCTGGTACTATTCACTTTACCCTTTATTTTGTCCTTATCATTAAAACTCAAAGTTTTCAAGCCCTTTTAATTAGTTTTCCTAAAAAAAAATACATGAAAAAGATAATAAAAAACCCTTCTTGCATTTATAACATAAGACGTACTATCCAGTATTTCAGACACGTTAAAAAAAAGTGTGTCGATAACAACATCAATCATACAAGAAACTTGCGCAAGTAAGATTTATATACTAAAGAATAATAATAGAAAGAGGGCCGTTGCAATGATGGTTTCTTGGAATATCGTAGCTCACATAAAAGCATTATGACCTCAGTATGCATATATATGCTTCAGTGAATCCAGTTTAAAATGATATTATTATCGGGATCGATGCATCAACACCCACGGCCTTTTGTTAAGAAAGTCTAGGAGAGGACAATCATATATGCAAAAGACTAAGATGTTCAATGATTTTGTTCTTTTTTCATTTGGCATGCATGAATGGCGCTCAATAAAATCAAAAGAACAAGAAAGTGATCAAAATATTGTGAACATTTTATTTAAAATATAAGAATTATCCACCATATATTGATAGCAAATTGATTTTCTTATTATGCAGCTTCGATGTTAAATGAGATCTGTTGTACTTTTATCTCTTTCGAGTCAAATAATACGTTAAACATAGACAGCAACTAATAGAATATTCGTAGAAATTCGAACTCAGATTGAGAGCACATACTAAACTTTCTTACTCGAAATATATTAATAAGAATATGAAATGATTATTGTTTTACCAAGAAATAGGCCTTTTATGCAAAGGGATTCCCATTTTTTTTTTTAAAATAGGGATTAGGTGTGGGGTTCACTCCACATCGAACTTCAACGATTCGAACCGTTTATTTTTTAAATCTCGATTCATAAATCATTCTTACAAAAATTTAATTCAATCCGAAACTATTTGCCTATTTAATAATCAAGATAAATTGTTTCTTATATAACAAAGTATTCGTTAATTTCTTTGAACTTAATCAGATGTCTTAAACATTTCCGATTTGACTAATATTTTACAATGATGATCTATGAGGTTCAACTTGAAAAATAGACGGTTCGAATTGTTAAAGTTTGATGTTGTATGAACTCCACAACTAATCTTTACTTCTATAAAAATATGAGGATCCCTTCCCTTAAAAGTTTCCTACAAAAAAAAAAACAAAGAAGAAGTTGGAAACAACATAATTAGAGCATGCAAATTTAGTCGGGGTTACACGGAAATTGTGTCAGCATGTTATCCTTGTGTCTCTCGTGTGTTCGTGTGCGTAGTACGCCACACGTGCACGGGTGAACTTTGCCCTACACAAGCACACTTTTCACCACCAAAAGAGAAAAGAGAGAAGACGATTGTTTCCTTGGGATTTTCATCTGTTTTCTCTTTATTTTTTCTTTACTCCTGTTTTCTCTTTATTTTTTCTTTACTCCTGTAGGTATTTTTATTTTTTTTTATCTCTATTCGGTGCAAGATCAAAGTAGGGTTTTTATCACCGACTATATCTAAAGGAATATAATACACTTATACATTTTAAGAAAACATGATTTCACACCTTAAAAAAAGTTGATACTCTTACCGTATGGGATATAAATTTGGTTACGTTCTACATAATTTCCACCTAAAGTTCGTCCTATCCACTGATTTTATTTGCGATAAGGATTATGGATATTATTTTTGGTTTAGTAGATACTCTCTTAATTATTCTGATGTTATTGTTGAACAATGTAATCTCATATCGAAAATTAAATTAAACAAAATATAATTTATATTGAATAGTTCACTTATAATTGCATTAATGTCTGTTCATGGTAAACTCAATATTTGTTGGGTCGTGTAAATGAATATCAATGTGATTGGTTCAATATTTGTTGGGTCGTATAAATGAATATCAATGTGACTAGTTATGTGCTCCTAGTCCGATTGATCTCAAAACTTAGACTATTACTAAAAAATTTCCTAATTTTAGCATTCTGAATCAGTTAAAAAGGTTGTCTGCCTACTATAGAGCATCTCTAAGGAGGTAGCAGTTGGGTAGCAAAGTTAAATTTGTTATGTCACGTAGGAAAAATGCATCTTTAACGGAGGTAGCAACCCAATTAGTATACAAGATCAGTTGTCTTCAAGTTAGCAAATTGGTTCCCCAATATGCTTTATTCAAGAATATTATTTTGCATAAGGAGGTTAAAAATTTGGAGCCCAAAAGATAAAATAAGTTAAAGATAATAGTATTTTAAAGTGAATGATAAAATCTGAAGAGTTGTTGAATAATGGATTGAATGATAAATTTTAAGAATAGGATAAAAGTGCCAAATGAATTAGCAAAGGACACTTTAAAAAAAAATTGCTAATTCTTTTAGAGATGATCTGTGAGTCTTTGTGCCCCCAAAACAGTGGACTGACGATGATCTCTTAAAAAAAAAAAAAACAGGAAGAACTTAGCTGTAGTGTTTCAGTAAGTGTGGGGATTTCTGTGTAATATTAACACCGTTTTGCTGCGGTTGTGAAGTGTGAAACTCTCTCTCTCTCACTCTCTGTATCTAAGTATCTCTCTCTTATCTTCAAATAAAGTAATATATATTATGAAGTCAATCCCGTAATTATTATTCTAGTTAATTAATTTATTCATCGTGGATATAACATATCCTCCATCATATACTTCACCTGCAACACCAATTACAAAAGGCCACTACATTCCCATTAATTAATTCTCCTACATTTCATAATATGGTTTTGCTTTGATTATATTTAAATGGATAATGCTTGGGATACTAAAATTTTAAACTAAATGATATCAATGTTGATAATTAGATTATTACTTAAGTGTTGACAGGGCCGTCTATGAGATTTTGAGTGCTCTGTCCGAAATTTATAAAAAGGCCCCTACTTAATATAATTTAAAAAAAATGTAGGACAATGTATTGACGCTAGAAAGTAATCACTTAAATCAAAACAAAGTTTAGAACTCACTGATTACAAGTTTAAAAATGTCATTAATAATGAGTAAAAAGAGCTACAAACATAATGTTCACTAAATAATTAAAAGCAGTTCAATCTTAAACAACCAAACAAGAAAAAAAAAACTTCAAAAACTCTAACTTTAAAGTTTCACTTCAATATATAACATTATTATATAATAAAATTGAAAAAACAAACCCTTTTTAAGGTGTTATTATTGTCATTAAAAATATCTCATTGTATTCCAAATTTTATATTTTGAAAGGAAAAAAATTAAGCTTATAAGGAATGCACGATGAGATTTAAAGCGCTAACAAAAATAATTTTTAAATATAGAACATTATTATATAACAAAAGCAATTTTTAAATATAAAACATTATTACATATAAATCTTAGGTGACAAAAATTTTGGGGGCTCCTTAAAATTTTAAGCCATGTGCGACTGCACATTTTGCTCCCCCTCAACGTCATCTTTGAGTATTGATTAGCTTGCTCATTTTTTATTGGTGACATATCGTTTAATTTGTGAATTTAGTTTAAAAATTTAATCTTCCAAACATTATCTTAATTAAATTTAATTAAGTCGATAAGGATTACAATTATCAAATAATCAAAAGCTCGCTAAGAAGAAGCTTGGTTCACATTCATGTAGTCTGTGTAGCCGTAAGAAGGTAACGCGTAACGAAACCCTCTTCACATTACAAAAATAAAAAATAAATAAATAAACTGGTTAAACGGTCAAAGGTCCAAGTATGAAAGCGTCGCCGGTTTGTCGGAACCATGCAATGCATTCAATTTTTTTTTTGCCACTGCAAAATCTGTCTTTCTCCGTACAAAACCCTGCACCTCCAATTGCCGGTCAATGTTTGAGGCCAACCCAAAACTCTCTCACTCTCTCACAATCCTCCCCCAAAACTCTCTCCTCCCTCTCTCCCAAAAATTTTATAAACCAGATCAGACCCTACCCTACTCTCTCTCTCTCTCTCTCTCTAAGACAAACAAATCCCAGTTTCTCTCTCTTACTCTCTTTCTATCTCTAGGATTTGAAGAAGTATAGATAGTAGTGTGTGTACTGAGAGTGAGCTATGAATGTGAAGAAGGATGTGGTGAAGAGGGAGGACAAAATTAATAGCAACAATATGAATGGGGGAGGAGGAGGAGGTGGACTTACCACATCACCATTTGCAGGCATGTTTGATTTCTGTGAAGGAGAAAAGAGTTCATCTTTAGGGTTTATGGAACTTTTGGGGGTTGGGGTTGGACAGGACTGTTGTCCCACTTCCCTGTTTGATTATCTGCCTCAGACACCATCGACAGCCCTGCCTTCATTAGCTTCCACAATGGGAGGAAAAGATCAGTTATCTACTGACTACTCCTCTTTGAATCAGCAGCCTACAACACCAAACTCTTCATCGATATCGTCGGAATCAAGCGAGGCAGTGAACGAAGAACACACTGATCATAAAGCTGCTACAGACCAAGAGAAAAGTAATGAAGAAGAAGAACATCATGAGCAACAAAAGACCAAGAAAGAGTGAGTTTTTTACTTTTTAATTATTTTCTTGCTTTCCTTTGCTTTAAGTTTTGTGTTTGAGAGATTAACCCATTTCATAACAGATCAAGATAGAGATGGGTTTTCTGGGAAATTGAAATTTTTGGGATTTTGGGTAAAAGGGTAAGTCAAATTAATAAAAGCCTTGTGAAGGGTGAGATATTAATGCATTTGTAATTTCTTGTGTTGGGATTGGAGAAAAGGTTGAAAGCAAAGAAGACGAGTCAGAAAAGGCCGAGAGAACCCAGATTTGCATTCATGACAAAGAGCGAAGTTGATCATCTGGAAGATGGCTACAGATGGAGAAAGTACGGCCAAAAAGCTGTCAAAAATAGCCCCTTTCCCAGGTACTAAAACTTCAGAGCCAAATTAATCACTTCCATTTGAAATTCTGCATTGTTGGTTAATTTGAATGTATCAAAACCAGGAGATTAATTTAATAATGGGTTTTCAATCAGAATCTCAATTATATATATATATGTATTTCATAATTAAATGTTGGTGATGTGATGAAATGATAATATGTTTTGTAGGAGTTACTATCGGTGCACAAGTGCATCATGTAATGTGAAGAAGCGAGTGGAGCGATCTTTCGATGATCCGAGCATTGTTGTAACTACTTATGAAGGCCAACACACTCATCGCAGCCCACTCCTGCCTCGCCCAACTCTCCCTGCGGCTTCTGCTTTTCCAGCTAATAACTTTGAGATGCCATTAATCCCCACAAGAACCCTATTTACTCATGACTATCAACAAGTACAACCATTTGCAGATAACAACTCCTCTTCGCCTTCATCGGCACCAATTAATTTTGGTGATTATTATGTGAATGGCTCTTCATTGTTTACAAATGCTACTAGTACCACGGGCTTTCTTCATCCCGAAAGGCGGTTTTGCTCTCCGGCAACCGGTTCTGCTTTGTTAGCTGACCATGGCCTTCTTCAAGACATAGTCCCCTCTCATATGCTGAAGCAAGAGTAGAAGATATATACCCTTATATATATATATATATATGATCATCATCAGATAGTGAGATCATTCCAATCCATCAGTGCTACTTAATTATGTACTATTTAGCTTGCTTACTGACTTTCTGTGTTAAGATGGTGATCCAGATGATGGTTATGTTTTGTAACATGGATGGAACATGGACTTTTGAATCCAATGCAGGTACTAATAGGCAGTAGCTAGTTTTTCTTTCTATTTCTTTTACCTCTTTCTGTTTTGATCTTCTTCTTTTTTTTCCCGTGTTTTTCCCTTTTGGGGGTTTGTGGGGTTTGTGTGGAAGAGAGCCTAAAAGAGGAGAGAGAGAGGTGAGGAGGAGGCTGATTATGGTAAATAGAGAAAAATGGGGGGTTGTTTATTTAGTTCGATTGTCTGACGTCTTGTTTGTCCTTATATCTTTGTTTTTCTTGTTGAAGGAATGTGCATTGATTTGATTTGGATACTAGTCAGCACTGCGGGCGGTCATGATTTGAGGGTTAGGATGTTGGACAGTCTCCAGACTCTCCACACCTACTTCTCTTTCTCTTTTTGGTCGACTTCTTGTTTCTCTGTATAACACCATATGCACTGGAAACTTCGTATTTAACAAGTTTTATGAAGTTACAGCAGAAGTGTAAACATGAATACAGCTTACATTGATCAAAACGAATGTACCCTCTCTCATGCATCTAATAATTCAAGTTCGATAACTGTTATTATTAGCATTTCAAAAATCTCATTCACTCATCACAATTGTATTTTTCTTTCTAATTATAAAAAGTTTTGAGTGTAAAATGAAAATTTTAGAGTGTCGTAACAATTCACTTCAAGTTATTTTAAAGTAGAATATCGTTTTAATTAAGGAAAAAACATTCTCTCATGAGAATTCCCATAAAAGCGTTATTCTAGAGAAAGGGAATTCACTTCACATGCCCTCTTTTGTTGTATGCCAACAAATCTCACCCTCCACATTCGATTCATTGAATTTGAATAATAATGAGATAGGAAATGTGGATTTCGACTCTCTGCAGTGATATTATAGATATTAATAATTACTGTCGCACCGTCTTCATATTCATTTTATTTACTTATTGGAATAAAGAACATCGAATTATAATCACCGTCAAACAAATTATGACTGATTTAATGAGTCCTTGTCCTCTGTAATATCATCTTTAAACATTACTATAAAGGGAATCCTCCAAATATCTCTTCTTTAGTTGGTGGAAAATCTTAATCCAATTGGCATCGAGAGAGAATTGGTTGGATAGTGTGTGGCACATTTCTCCACCACTTGGTTCTCTTTCTTTTTCCCTTTTGGTAAAATGGGTGGGAACCGAACAAAGACGCTTGGTTTGGGTAGAATCTTCAAAAAGTTCAGCAAACACAAGATAAATTACAAACATGTTGAGTGGATGATCAACTTCACATCAGATGGGCGGTGAGCGCCAAAGATAAACTTTCTAATTGGGAATAATTACTTCAAATTATATGTAAAATAATTGGTCTATGGTACAAATTTCGGGCAAGGATAGAGATCCTCTTCGGATCTCACCATCCGGAGCTTAAAAAACTAGTAATTCAGGCTACTTAAATTGAATTCGACAGTAACCTATTAAATAATTTCGCTGACTCACCTCATACAAAACAAGGATCATGATCTCTTTTTCTCTCTTGAACAGTCAAAATTCCCTAAACCAAGGGCCTTATGCTCTGGATGTGAGGTCTAAAGAGGATTTGGTGGGGCACCTGGATCCTGATGGTCTCCGTCTCGTGCCTCTCCAGCTTACACAAATTCTCTCCACCACACTAAAATGGTGGAGTCGCGCAAATGGAAATATAAGTAGCTGTATCTTGTATATAAATTATAAATATAGTGAATTGTTGAATATTACGCCTCCAAATCCCCTCATCTTCTTGTCCATCTCACACTTTTATTTTTGTCAACACAAAATATTGACATGATTTAATTGTAACCATTCAAATAAGAAAAGATTGCAGAAGAATAAGATTGAAAGAAGTCAACACAAAATATTGATATAACTTAATCGTAACTGTTCAAGTAAGAAAGGTAAAGAAAGTTAAGGTTCCACCATAAAACTATTTGACAATATAGGGAGTATCCCAACATTTTATAAGCCTATGCAAGGTCTCTATTCACATCAGTGTTGCACTCATTCTGAACACGCCCCCTCACGTATGACGAATTTTCAAGACTAACACGTAGACAACATAACTCAGGTGACGTGGAGCACGTGTGGCTGTTGGGCTTCACACATGAGACAACTTGCTCTAATACCATGAATAAAGTTGAGTTTCCACCATAAAATCAATTAACAAATGTAAGATTTATTCTCAACAAAATGACGAGAAGGTGTTTGTTTGGCCTTGGAATGGAAGTCATATTGTAAGGTGATGCTTTACAGGGTGGTGATGCTTTGCAGGTAACCCAAAGCTCTCGGAAGTCCGCAGGGTGGTTCTTCCGCCTTTGATTTGCTTGTTGAAGACAATAAAACAAGCCTATGGTTTTTGTTGCATCAAAAGCTTGTCATGTTCATACATACGTAATGTAAGGACACATAGAACGCTCAAGTTTGCCTTTACTTCCAATTTTACCAGTTGTTGGTTTGAGAACGCTCCGGAGCTACTCCAGAATGTCCTCCTTAAAAATTGTAGTGATGAATAAAACTACGATTGTTTCTTATTAAAAACAACCAAAAAAAAAAAAGAACAGTCGGAAAAAAGAGAATCATATGCCATATAAAACAGAAATATAATTTGAAAATATATAAACACGTGTATACTGTCATTTAGTATTACAGTCTAGTGATATTCCTCTTTACTTGTAATGAGAGATCTTAGATTTGATTCTTGCAAAAGACGAATTCGAATCACATTATTAGGTCATGTTCGATTCTCGCCAAAAGTGAATTTGAACCGCATTATTTCTAACCCATTGTGAGGTTAAGCACACCCTCAAGGAGTGTAGATAAACATGTGTATAAATAAATAAATAAATAAATAAATAACATGTGTACTGAGTACTGACCATGCACAAACATTTTTTTTTTTTGGTGTCAAAACAAACATTTGTTTTTTTGGTGTGGATAAAATTGTAAAAAAAGAAAGAAAAGAAAATTCAGCAGGGAGTAAGAGGGTAATAAAAACCCAGCCCTAGCCCAGGCCTTCTTTTAGCTTAAAGCTTTAGGCTTTCTCCTCGTCGACGTCCTAAAACCTCTGCTTGCGGCTCCACTATCTTCACTCTCCAGGTAACCATTCCGTACACCAAATCTAATTCAACTTTTATGTAAATTTTTTCATGCATTTAATCGTCGGCCCCTAATTTGCCCCTTTATGTTTATTGTACAATCAAGGAATCGATTTGTTTATGTATTTATTTTTGCTATAGTTTCAATTTTCATGAGGATTTTCTACTCAAAGAAGCAGATCCTGATATCAATTTTTAATCTTGATCGTTGCTTTTGTTTGTAAATTTCTGCAAGTGTTTTGCTTAGTAATTAGTGAACTTAATCTTATTGGGATTTGGGTTTTCGTAGAATTTCAATATCGATAAGGAGCTGTTTGGGAATTTCTTAAAGTTATGTTCTTTACCCTTTTCTGTGTAATTTGTTGGCTGTGGAGGATATTGATAAGGTTTGGTTTGTGTTGTGGAATGTTTAGAATTCATAAGGTTGAAATAATGGAAACGAGACCAGACCCGGATATCGATGACGACTTTAGCGAGCTATACAAGGAGTACACTGGCCCTCCTGGGTCAAATGCCGCTAACACACAAGAAAGGGCAAACCCAAACAAAAGGTCTCTTGCCGGGTCTGATGAGGAAGAGGAATCTCGCGATCCCAATGCCGTCCCAACCGATTTTACTAGCCGAGAAGCTAAGGTGTGGGAGGCCAAGTCAAAAGCAACTGAGAGGAATTGGAAGAAGAGGAAGGAAGAGGAAATGATTTGCAAAATCTGTGGGGAACCTGGCCACTTTACTCAGGTAGAACTTTAGTGCTTCATTTGCTTCTAGTTTCTTCTAAATATCTGGCCACCTTTATGCAAAATCACACACACATACGCAAACGCATTATTTGTTTGTTTTTCAATTGCTTATACTGCAAAGTGTTTTTCAATTGCTAATATAACCTCATAGCATGTTTAGACTTTTTAGTTCTTCTATCTCAGGGTGTTACTTTTTCTTTATGATAACATGTTCTGATGCATTTTTGGTAATTCCTAGGGTTGCCCGTCTACCCTTGGTGCAAGTCGCAAGTCTCAAGATTTCTTTGAAAGGGTACCTGCTAGAGAAAAGCATGTAAGGTCCCTTTTCACTGAGAGAGTGATAAACAGGATTGAAAACGATATTGGATGCAATATTAAGATGGATGAGAAATTTATCATTGTCAGTGGCAAGGATAGGTTAGTATTAAGAAAGGGTGTGGATGCTGTGCACAAAATTATTAGAGAGGAAGGCGAACAAACAGATGGTTCTGCTTCTCGAGTGACTAGATCAAGGTCACCTGAGCGAAGTCCTGTTGGTGCACGTTTACAACGTTCTGAATCCCAGAGGTCTCATTCTGGTCCCCGAAACGGGTCGCATTTTCAACAAAGGTTTCACAGGCAAGAGAAATTTGTTGAAGACCGAATACGTCAGGATATGCAGAAAATTTCCAGGGGTTCTCCGCAAGGTAGGGACAGCATAGGATATGTTTACGATGTATATAGGGAGCTGTTAAGTCATGTTCATAGCTCGTTAGGTTCGTATACAATTTTCTACCTGTTGTCTGTAAAATCTTTCCAATTTATCAAAGAATCGGGTTTTTGCTTATCATTTGTTTGCAGCAAGAGGTAAGTTCTTATCTTAAAGAATTGTGTGTAGAGTTCTGAAGTAGCTTTCACGGTTGGGTCTGAATTGATCGGGTTGTTTCCGAAATGAAATCATTTACTGAAAGCTATCCAGAAATTTTGCCTCAGATGGTTTCTCTCTGAAAATAAGATAGTATGTTGAATTAAAGCTGCCATCTGTGTTAGCATCTTGAATCAAGTGCTTAACGTACTCTTCATTTCATGAAGCTTATGGTAATGACGGAGCTAGAGGTCGACCAAGTCATTCAAACTCTCCAGCTCGTGCCCCTTATATGAGAAACTCATATAATTCATATGATGGTCATAATCGGAGCATGGCTGCTTATAGAAATGATGGATGGAATTCTGATAAAAAAGGATCTGATATGCAATCCAGTCGTCAGTTTGATTACTCTGCCACCCCTCAGACATTAGAAGAATTAGAATTGGCGTACAAAAGAGAGGCAACGGAACTTGGAAGAATTCGTGACAAGGAAGAAGATGAAGAAAATTACGGACATCGTGAGGTATGGTCTACCTTACAACTCTGGGAACAAATAAAACGAGAAACACTTTTATGTCTTTTATTCTTGCTGGAAGTGATAACTGGTCTATTGACCCATCCTATAACTCTTAACATGTATATCTGCAGCTACCCTGCCTGTTTTCTTGCCAATCGTAATTGTTTTAAAAAGACTTGAACTCTTGGTACAAATTTCTTGTTGCTGACTTTTTATTATATGGATAAAAGGCGATTAGGGATATAAGAGAGAACCACGCGAAGAAATTGGCTACCCTGAGGGGCATGCATGCAAAGCAGTGGGAGGACTTTCTTCAACTTGATGCCCAGAAACGTCAACAACAGGCTAATCAGCAGATGTCGACTTCAGGTTTTGGTGGTTATAAATCACACAATTATTCTGAATACGACAGCTCCTCAGCCAATCCTCAGTATTCCATGGCTAATTTAGCCATGGATTCAAGGAGCAGGTACCCCAACACTATGGAAAACTATCCTTCAAGGCCTCACGACAATTTTGGTGAGTTTCAGCGTCAGAGGCACGAGGATTATGGGAGAGGTTACAATCGATACTGAATGGGAATCTGCAATTACATTTGGTGAGTAGTCTTACTCTTCAGGCAAATTAACAAGGATTTAATTGTTACCTTTATGGCTTGTCCTCAAAATTGAATATCCAATGCTCGTATAGGGTGGTTCTTCGGAATGCAGAAGTGAAATTTTATTAGGGTGCTTTCTAGCAACCACATAGAATGTTTTTATGCGATTCTGTGGCTGTTGATTGGGTAGGGAGCGCAGATGTTGGCATTGTTAACTTGGTATTGCAGATTATTGTTTGCTTATTTAGCACTAGCTTAAATTCCACATGGAAAAAATTCCAGGGTCGGGTAGCGGTAGGCTCAGGAGAGCACCAAATCTCGGTCGCATTCTGTTTTACATTGACATCATTCATATCAGTACATGATCGATTTAAAATACTTCCCCCTGCACAAACATTCTGGTGTTTGTGACCAGTAACTTTAGATTATACTTTCTGCTTTAGCTCTCCGTTGGTTAGTTAAGTCTATTTTATTTGATATCAAACCACGTCGTCAATGAGCAAAAGGAGGCAAACCTCGCTTGGCTTTCTTGTAGATCAAGGAATATCTTCCTTCTTGTCCTAGGGCATATGGTGTATAAATACTATCATTTGGTGGTCCGGATTGGATGGAACTATGTGTTTCGGATTGGAATACCTTCCATTCTTTGATCCGGTACCAATACCACTCTTCAATTTTCTTCGTCTACTAGAATACACATTTCTGGGTTTTGGGATTAAAGAAAATATAACCAAGTCACTCATAAAGCTCACCTCAACTCAACTCAATCCCTATCGACAAGGTTGGAGCTCATTCAAACTTGGGTGTAGGCTCCAAGTGACGTGTAGATCAATCAAAACAACCCTTGTCTTCAATGAGCTTGGATATTTTGGGTCATGAAGATATGCGAACCTGAAAGGAAGCTCACCGATGCACCCTTGGTGGTGGTTCGATCTCCCTTCCCTCCTAACATTTAACAATTTAATCCACTGACGGTATCGCTTCTTAAAAAATATATATATTCCCCCGGGAGGCTGCATCCAATCTCTCTGAGGATCAAACGCCACCTTGTACTTTGTAATATACCTTTGTATAATGTGAAAACATCAAACGCACCCTCGTGGTGGACGTAGCCGAATTAAGCGTGAACCATGTGTATTGTTGTGTTAACATATTTACCGCTCTAATTCAATCTCTGCATCCAATCGTAGTATTCACTTATTTGCAGACTTTGATCGGACATTCTTTTACAGGGCATTGTATTGTTGCTTGTGAGATGAAGGGACTGATTCCGCAGACTCGTTTGGACGCTGCTCGTAATTCCGCAAGTGTGGTTTTCGACGGCTGGGGTAGTCATGATCTCAATGTCAGACTAAGCACGCAGCTACGGCGAATGTTTATGCTTACTTCAATATCGGGGACAAGTAGTCGGGCGGATTGGGTAACGGTTTTCTTTTTGGCTAAGTGAAACTTGGGATGCTATGTCATTTGAACAACCTTGTTTGATCCCATTTTTAAGTTATTTGTCAACAAAATCTGTGATCTTGCGATGAATTCGTCAAATAATAATTAGCTCAGCTCCTGGAGGCTGTTGCCTTCCAATCTGCAGAGCACGGTGCTTTAAGGCAGCCCTTGAATTTTTAGTACTTGTAACAGACTCTGAGAGTAGAGTGGATTCTCTCCCCTCAAGTTCAAGTTCACTGGCACTTTGAATCACTGGCTCGATGCCAATGTTAGACCCCGTTCGAACTTTGACTCGTATACATAAGAACAACTGCTATTACTCAAGAACCAGAATGCAATCAATATCGTCAATGTACTTTGCTCTGTACAAAGGCACAATATATAAAACTGTTGCAGGCTAAAGATAGAGCATCTTCAATGGGAGTCCCAACGTAGGGGCTCCCACCACCACTTTTGAGGACTCATATAGGAGTTTTAAAGGAATATTTGAATCCCTAAAAGAATATTGTTTACAATGGAGATTTTTTTATAGTATAATTCCAAAAATAGGGACTAAAATATTAAAAAATTATAATTCATTTCATTGAAATATTGTAACCATTGATAAAAATAAAAAAACTATCTCTGCCATTAATTTTTCAAGAATTCAAAAAAAAGAAAAAAAAAGGGACAAATGAGAAGTTGCCCCACTTGAGTGGGTTCAAAAAACAAGTAAAAAAAACATAAAAGAGCAGCATCATTCCCAATCAAAATTAATATGGAGTTCACTATCTGAGTGCCTATATGTCGTCCTCATATTTGAGAATTCTTTTGAGGTATCCGACGATTCCCTATGTATTGAGATATTTTGAGGACTTCAATTCCGAACTATTGGAAGTCATTTGTCCCTATATTTAAGGACTATACGGTTGTAGGAACTCTATTTAGGATCTCCATTGGAGATGCTCTAACTTCCTTGCAAATATCACACGTGAACCAATAGTCTTATAACAAATGATGATAGGGCATGTGACGTGGCAAGAGCTTAATAGCATCTTAACATATGCAAGAAAGGAGACTGCTCTCTCTACTTGGTTGAATTAAGGAGGCTTAGCATATCAGTTGCAACAATAATGGAACCGGATCCCTTCCGGACCTAAATAAACTGAGCCTTATGAGCAAAGGATCCGGGCCATTAAAATTTGATCCAATAGATACAAACAGAGAGCCTCTTTAAAAGTTATAATAATTATAACCGTTGAATCAAATTTCAAAGGTCCAAATCATTTTCTCAGGAGGCTTAGTTTATTTGGGTCCGGAGGGGATCCAGTTCCAACAACAATGAATGATAAGTCCTTGAGACTTCCTAATGAAACGACACAAGATTATGAACAAAAATCTCAAGTACGCGGAAGTGCATGCAAGGAACTTCAACCAGAGCGAAGAGCCGGCGACTTTCAAATTTCCTAAATGCGCCGAGACAGAAATACATAGGTGTTGAAGAAGTTGGGAGTAGGACAGAAAGTGCTCGATAAGTTGACCGTTTATATTTACAAATGACAGAGAGAGATGCTTGAGGGACTTAATGCATGACATGCCAAAAGGGCTCTTAAATGGCTTATCCGGAAAAAACATAAGACTTGGAAGAGTGCCAAAAAGGTCTATCTGCTTTCAGATCTATCTCGAGCCTTTGAACTCTCGTCTGCACCGCGAACTCAATCCAACTGTCGATTTCAAAACTGCTAGCGCCGCAATCAGGTGAGGATGAACGAATTTTGGGTTCATCTATGGACGGACTTTGATGCAATTGAAAGACTTGAGTCACCGAATTGTATCTAGATAATAATGCATCTGAGACGTGTAACATGTTTCCACACATAACTCCAAATCCAACCCAAAACTATATGACTCTTAGGGTTTAAGATTATTGTTACTTTATTTGTTTCTTGTGGGCTAAGGATTATGATTCTTTTGCCTGTTAAGGTTAGATGTCTTGTTTGTTACGTTTAAGTTTATTTTTTGTTTTCTCCTATGTGGTTTCTATGGTTAAGTATGTAGCTTTCTTGATAATTTTATAGTGCTTTTTTAGTTTTAGTTAATTAAGTATCATTTGTAATTGTCTAGTCGTTTGTTCGTCTTTTCATTGAATTTCAATTTTATTTTCTTTAATTTCCTTCACTTCGAAGTTTGAATGAGAAACAAAACTTTACCTACTTGTTTAGTATTCCATCTATTTCATTCAACAAACATCATACAGTGTCTGTGCTGATGGTGTAGTTTTGTACGATTGGATAAATTAGATCCACATGTATTGTTAAGCCTTATCTTTATTAGTGAAATAATACAAATATTTAAACTAATGAGCCTTTTTCTTAGTAGTGGAGCTCACTTCGTGCGTGGGACCCAAGCTTACGAGTCTCCACCACGTCAGCATCAACAAACCAAGCAGCCCCCAGCCGAGTTCAAATCTGTTTGCCAAAAAACCCCTTGCCCACCCTCTACCCTGCATTATGCAGTTGACACCTGTCCTTCCCTTAATCCCACATAACTCCGTGGAGTATACGGCGACGAAGGGGAGTCCGGTGGCGCCGACACGGTGGCGTCACCAAGGAAGTTGGTTTATTGCGTGGCTGAGGGAGTTGGGTCAATGGGGGAATTCGGATGCTGCTAGGCTAGTTAATGTTGACACGAAAATTATACCACAAATATAAAATAACAGAAAATGTATAGAGAGTCGCATTGTTTAGAAAGTATTTTCTTTTCTTTTATAAAAATTAATTAAAACAGAGTTGAAGTTCTGGCACAGCATAATGCAGGTTTTTATGGCGCCCCAGCCATTGCCGGCCGTTGGACTACCAAATGCTTACCACGTACTTGGTCTCCAAAAGCTGTTTTCGGCTGCAAACCACTAGCAAACAAATCACACTACACAAAAATATATAAGAATATTCTCTCTTTTTATTTTTGAATCTTTGTCTTATCTATATTTTCTTGTTCCCGTCTCTTCAAGAAAAAGTTGGATTCCTGCCAGACTTTGCGTGCCTGCTAGCTCCATTTCCATGAGCTTCAGCAGTTCTCTTCAACTCAAAGGTACCATCTATTTTGGCATCAACAGCCCCACATTTCTCTGTAGTTTGTTCTCTAGAGATTGAAACTTTGAAACTTGTTTAATTTGCAGTGTTCTTCCGATAGTTTTTGAAGGTGGTTCAATGTGATTTCATTGAGAATTCTAGGCTTATTATTTGTAACAAGGAATTACACCTTAAGCCGATCTTTCTCAAACGTCTCGATTGAACTCCAAGGGTTGCCCTACTTTGATTGGACGGATTCTTATGGCTCTAAAAGAAAAACAGTTTGAATTTGACCTTGAAAGTGGAGGGGGTACTCGTGAAGAAGATGAGAGCTTAGACGTTGTTTCAAACAAAAGACCGAAATATAAATTCTTGGGTAGTGTTTTGGGAGGGTTGATGAATTCCAATGAATCAATCATGTTTACATGTGGCGTTGTATCATCTACCAGTTCAGAAAAATCTGGGCAGGTTTCAAATGCTAGTGTGGAGTTGGTAGTAGAAAGGAATTCAGAAGGGGAGGAGAGTCAAGGACATATGACCCTTGCAGAAAAGGCATGTGAGAATGATCGGCCTAGGAAGACCAACTCTAGGAATGCTTCTAAGCCACCACGACCTCCTAAACCTCCATCACTTGATGCAGCCGACCAGAAGTTGGTAAGGGAGATCATCGAGCTCGCCAAGAGGAAGCGAGCGAGAATTGAAAAGATGAAAATAGTAAAGAAGATAAAAGCATCCAAGTCATCCTCGTTACACAGTGGCATATCTGCTATGCTCATCACACTACTCTTCTTCTTTGTCATAATCTTTCAAGGTAAGATTTGCTTTTCAGCATTTAATTGGGCCCTTTTCCTTCCCGTCTTCTTTTTATATGTCATACTATAATGCTACATTTTGACGTCTCATTCGGTTGCTTATAAGACACATCTTATGATTTAACAGAAGTTCCAAAAGGTTGAATGCGGATTAAAAGAAAAATAAAATTGGTTTAAAACCATGCATTGATGCTTTGGTATTATGTGGTATTCTCTTTTAGTATTGAGGGTATCAAGTTTCCTATTTGTGAGTTTAAGCAGGGATCTGAAGCCGCTCTTTTTGTGGTTTCATTGACTTAATCTTTTGTGGGTTCCGGCTCTTTCCTTGATTTCATTGGTGATCTTCGTTTTCATGTCGTTTTTCTCATTCGTTTTGAATGTCCTATTGAACCGTAAATTTCCTAGTATACAATTGAACTTTAGTCTAGTCAGGGTATATTTACCAGTACAACAAGTAGTACTTTATTTGAAGATGGTAAGGAAAAAGTAATTGAAAGGATATTTCAAATATCATACTTATCTGCACTAGTCAGGATCTGAATTCATTGGAATTCTCATGTATGATGCGGTAGGGGTGACCCTTGCTAAGATTGCACTGTATAAATTCTCTTCCACCTCTCCTCGCTGTAAATTTTATATCTCTCTCTTTAGTCTTTGAGATTGTGATCCTTTTCTAAGTTTGTGTTATTTGCATTTCATAACAAAAGCTTTTCCTTTACTAGTGTATTAATGTCTCATGCACACATGGATTCATGGTCGTTACTATGTCCGTTGCTTATGTCCAGGTTCTTTAACTCATTACTTCATCCTCCAGCTCCTCCTATGGGGCTACTTGTTTTTCGAGTAAAGACATTGGGAGCATATACTCTGCCAGAACTGATAGTGAAGTAGATTATTTGCTGAATTTGTACAACTCTGTTCTTACCATCACTCAATTTACCAACGCATTAAGCGTCATGTCCCTAACTGTGTCCTCACTCCATTGAGTTGTTCACCAAAATCATTGTTTCTAAAAATCACTGTCCCTACTCAAGCATATCTGTAAAACATCTAAATGCTTGTTGAACTGTTTGTATAGGAATAAGCTCCAGAAGCATTCCAAATGTGAGTATACATGGGTCTCCTGAGCCAGCGGTCGCAACAACTCAAGGTTTTGTCCCACTTCAATACTACAAAAGCGGCATACGAAGTTCTACCGGTCAAAAGTTTGTATTCCATTTCCCTATGCTTCACGTTCTCCATGATCCATAACTAAAACATTAACAAACTTTAGTACTCTTTCTAATCCATCCTCCCCTCTCGCTTGTTTGTTTGTTAATACAGTTTTGGGGAGGACCCGATTTCCCGTTCAGGTGCGGCTGAGGAGATGAGGAAGTTGATGGACAATATGAAAGGTTGTTGACGATATTAGCACTTCCATTTTGCAGCCTTGGAACTAATACAGATTTGTTTTCTTCCTCCATTCTTTAATGTTGCAGCAGGGTTATCTTTTTTCATTTGTATATATGTACGTACAGCCATAAACTGCAGGAGTTTTTTTTATTCTTGTACAGTGATTTCATTTGGTGAAAAGAATGATTGTGTTGATGAGAAATGCAGTGTTTATTTGTTGGTGAAATAGTATGTCACAAGTTCACTACATGCAATCAAACTTGAAACTCAAGTCTTAATGGCACCTCGTTGCAGAAGTTGGCAAGTGCAGATCGTGTGGCAAAATTCTTGTAAGATGGTGTTTGGGATAAAATCTGAACTTTGGGCCAGAGAGAAAGTCGGCCTAAACCCAAGGCCCAGAGGAAAACTTAGGAGGCAGGAAAGAGGCTTTCGGCTGGGCACAAGTTACAAAGGCCACCTGCTTACCTGCTCAAAGACCACAGGGGGTAGGCTATTCAGTCACTACACAGCCCAATAAAGTACTTTATTGGTGGCATTCATGTAAAAAAGCTAGTGAGTCATCACCAAACCGCATTCGGGCACCGCTATTGCTACAGGAACCCAAGCTGAAGTCGTCTATAAAAGGAGGAAGAGAAGACAAAATTAAGGACACTCAAACAAACAAACAAAAGCCAAAACTCTGCTCAAGCCAGATTTGCCTTCAACGAAGCTGTAGTCAGCACAAGCCTTCATCCCATTCGGGATAAACCTTCCCAAACCCCTGTAATAACTCTGCTACCTTGTTCATGGTGGTATCGATTCATTTTGTATCCTCTTCTCCCCCGTCAACCCCTCTAAAAGCTTTCAGACCTCTGACAGAGCCACAAAGACAGATTTTGTAAGAAGTTCAGCCTTGGCCGATAAGGTTCAAACTTACCCGACTATCGTTGCTCTGTCTTTGTCTTTTCTTTCTTTTAAAAGCACAATAACATGTTATATATTCCCAGTTATATACAAGTTATTTCTAGCAAAGTCATAATGAAAATAAGTCTTCAGCACTTGAATCCGATCTGAATCGCGTCAGAGTTCAAATCAGATCTAAGTCTTAAGCCCGCGGGCATGTAATTTAAAGATCAGTTAAAAGTCCTTGGCCTCAAGGCATAAAAAAGAACTCTATGTGGACTCAACCCATCCACGACAATCCTTGATAAGCGAGAAGTCCGAAGTTACTTGGGGCGCAAGTAATCAATCTATTTCTCCGTTTTGTTGCTATTATATCTTGATTCGTAGAAAAGGTTTAAGCATGGAGTGAATTCTGATAGAAAGCCTCAAGGCCTACACCTAAGGCCCCACAAAGGCATCTATTTAGCTTCATTTCATGTTGCGGTCTAGTTGGTCCGAGTATAAGGATTAACTCTGATGGGAAGCCTCAAGGCCTATACCTAAGGCCCTACAAAGGCACTCATTTGGGTTCGTCCTACCTCTTGGATTCAGATAATCAAAGGTATAATAGTGATAAGACTCTGGCAACCATAAAAGACCAAATATGATACATCCAAGCGCTGGTTTAGTTTGACAGGAAGCCTCAAGGCGTATACCTAAGGCCTCACAAAGGCACCTGTTATATCTAACTTGGTTTCTCGGGCGTATACATATTCAATCAAAGCTTAAACACCCATTCAACATCTGCCATACTGAAGATGGCAGTGGCACGCCTGAGCACGACAAAGTTAATCTTGATTGTGAGCCTTAAGGCCTACACCTAAGGCCCCACAAAGGCACCCTTTCAAATTAACTCTGCCCTTCTCTTTTCAGAACTGCCCGACGAGCCTTGCCCGAAGTGTGTCTTGCCCGACCAAGATCTGCCCGACAAAGGCTTGCCCGAGCGAGCCCGAGAAGAAAGCAGAAGTACGACAGATACCCTCAATCGACGCCATTCTCCCAGGGGAGCTGTGTGCTCGTCCGCCAGGAGATTCCTGCGACGAACATAGTTTTGGCACGCCCGGTGGGATAAGAAACAGCTACACTTCTAAGATCTTACATGTCCAAAAAGAGAAGCTATAAACTTGCCAAAAAAGGAGCCAAGAAGGATCTTTTCCAGATGACAGAACAATCAGAAAATCCTTTGTCCCCATCCGGACAGGTGGTCTCAGGTAGTTCGACTGCATCTGAGAAATCACAGGGGAAAGGGATTAATGAAGAACTGCAAGCTACAATGATCCAAGTGTTGAAAAGCATGGAAAGAATTTCCTTGGAGACTAAGGGAGAAGTAAGCAGACTCTGCATGCTTACAGGAAATCTACAAAGGAGGCTGGATTTGGAGTTCTCTACTCCAAAGGGTGCTCAAGGAAGTGGAATGAGTCCAGTTGTTATAAGAAGTGAGCCAATCATTCCTTTGTTTCCACTACTAGAAGAAGAAAAGGATAGGGGAAAGAAGAAGGTGATACCTGAAGGAAGTCAAGCAGTGATGGAGTCAGCTTCAGAAAAGGAGTTTCCCAGCTTCCCATTATTATCATTTAATAATAGGAGGCAGAGCGAACAAGAAAGAATGAAGTTTGGACTGCCAGCCACGGCTGGAGAAACTAGCGGGAAAGAAACAACCACTACTACATCAGATAAACCTCTACCTTATAGGCCACCCCCGATGGTCAACAAAGGTGGAGGATCTAACTGGAGAAAATCTGAAACCAGGAGGGAAGCAAACGCGGGCAATGACCGGAGTCCGAAGATTGAGTCAGCTATCCATGGCCAGAATGATAATTTAGCTACTCAGCAACTAAGAGAAGAATTGGCCGAGTTAAGAAGAACGGTGATTCAAAACGCCCAGCCTCGCGTTCGTCCAGTATTCAGGGTTACCTACCAGAAGCCATATCCTGAATATATCGATGAGTTAAATCCATTCCCTCTTAATTTCAAGATGCCCGCATTCCCGACTTTCACAGGGGAAGATAGCAGTGTGTCCTCCAGAGATCATATTTTCAAATTTTCTAATCACTGTGTGGCGTATGAGGACAATCCAAACTACAAATTGAGGTTGTTTGGAAATTCACTAGCAGGATTGGCATCTCAATGGTATTCTCTATTGCCCCCCAATTCCATTGCTAACTGGGGGCAAATGGAGATGGCTTTCCATGAACAGTTCTACAGGATAGAGCAAGAGCTCACCATTAATGATCTGGTAGAAGTGAAACAATATGACCATGAGTCCACCGAAGATTTTATGATGAGGTTCAGGAGGACAAGGATGAGATGTCAGTTCCCTGTCAACCAGGCACAGCTCATATCCATTGCTCAAAGGGCTTTAAAATTACCTTTGAGAAAAAGGTTCTATGATGCACAGTTTAATGAGCTACAAGAGTTGGTGATTGCTGCTACTAAGTATGAGAGGCTGTTACAGGAGGAACAGCAGGTAAAACATACTTCCAAAACTCCTCCGTTCTACAAAAATAAAGCTACTATTCACCATGTAGAGGTAGGGGAAGCCGGACCCGAATGCAAAGATGATCATGAGGAGAAGAGTATAGATGTGTGTGCTGCTGAGATGACTACACCCTTCAAGCCATTGACGATCAAAGGGTTAGTCCAACCAGTCAAGGACCAGAAGATCGTGATGAATGATGGTGGGTTCGTACCCATGAAACCCCCAAAGTATCAAAGTTACTCTTTCGATCTAACCAAGGCGCCAAAAATCTATGAAGAACTTGTGCGGGCAAGAGTCATTTTGCCCGACAGCACCAAAAAGATGCCCAAGCCCGAGGAACTCAGGGGGAAGAAGTATTGTAAGTTGCATTATACCTTCAACCACTCTATAGTCAATTGTGTCCAGTTTAGGGACTGGGTACAGGATCTTATAGTGAAGGGGAAGTTACTACTCGATTCACCTCAGGCTAGTATGATGGTGGATACTAACCCTTTCCCTGAGGCTCCTATTAGCATGATCGACCTCGTTTTCAAGAAGTCGGGGTTATCAACAGAGTAAAATGCCATTGAAAGGACCCGGGGGCAGGGGCTAAGATTGCCAACAATAAAGATGGAGGAGAAAAACAGGTAGGCAAGGGGGCATAGAGTTGCCTGAGGCCTGTCCAAATGGAGCAGAACAGGAGGAATGTTACATATCCATTCTAAAACAAAAAGAAATTACAAAGTAATTCTATTCCAAAAACTTTACATCTTCACACAAGGTGATTATTCTAGAATGGTATGTTCGCATGATGGTAAAAATCCTATTTGGTTCAGCCAAGACAGTATGGCTGTTTACAAGTTCAGACTTGGTTTGCTCTAACTCTGAAGTCGCTTTTTCCACCCTTTCGATCTGTTGCTCAAGGTTATCCAGAAGAGTTGTTTGCTCCGCCTTAAGGATCATCAGTTGTCTCTCCAACTTCTGAATTTCAGAAGAAACAACTTCAATCCGTTCTTTGGTCTGCATACTCTCTTCCATCAGCCGACTAACTTGGGTAGAGGAGCTCGATTCTCTCTCTATGAAGCATTTTGCCCGGTTAGCCAGCCGGTCTGCTCTCTGATGTTGCTCCCTGAGGGCCCTCAAGTTTTCAAAGAAAGAAAGGAAAGAATCATACTGAGGCTTGGATAAGCGATTGTTTTTAAAGAACTCAGTAATGACTCTCTCGAGGTCACAGAGAGCCTTGAGGCTAAATGATGCAATGAATTCTTTCTTTGCCCATGTTTGAAAGATTTGTTATTGCTCCGAAGACATTGATTTTGTTGAAGCCTGCTTTGAAGACTTCAACTGCGTCTCAAGTCGCCCGAGTGCTTCGAAGAGTTTGGGCAACTTGGCAGGATCAGAGGAGGAAGGAGAAGGGTCCGGCATAACAGTTTCTTCTGGTGAGATAATGCCTATGGAAGGGGCAATTTCTGTTTGTTCAATCGGTTCATCTCTAGACAGGGAGGTGTCAACATCTCCAGAGGAAGAAGGAGGTTGAAAGCACCTTGGGTTATTACGGGCCATTGGAGGAGGGGAAGTTTCTTTTGGGGAAGCTCGCTACAAAACTTCAGGATCAGGACAAGATGAACTATACACAAGTCAAAACAAAAGAGGCTTTGGAGAGAAGAAAGTTACCTGACTTAACCCCGGGGTTTCACCAGAGAATGCACTAACTCCTTGTTGAGATGAAGATTTTTCACCACCAGCGACAGATGGGAAAGTTGTGCCTGAACCTGTGCCTACATCCTGGTTGTATCCGAAGAAAGTAGTGATGATCAGCAAAAAGGTCACCAGAGGAAGAAACAAGAAGAAAATATTCCAGCACCTGAGGTTGATCTTGAGAGGAAGAAGGAGGTTCATCGACCGTCTGGCGAGTAAGCGCTTGCGAAATAGTTGTGTCTAAAGCTACAGGGATCTCAGGATCTATGGGTTCTTTATCCAAGGCCACTGACGGGGAAATG